AACTGAAAGACTGAACAAAGGGAAAAGAGAATAATTAATTATGGAAGGAAAAAGGCGAGTCATTAGATTCCGGCTCCCACCAAACCAATAACAAATATCCACCGTCGGATTCCACTAACAAATAAAAAACCGGAAGTTTAGTTAAGCCGGTTCAACTCATGGCCCCCACTTTGGTCCGAATAATTGATGGCCAAAGAATTCACGCTTCTCGATACCCCAAGACAAAATTCCATTCCCCTCGACCACCAGATTTCCCTTTCTAATAACATAATCTAAATTAATATCTATTTGAATAAAATATTTTTTTTAATTTATCATTAGTATTTAATCTATTAATTGATTAATCCATATCAATTACTGCAGAGATAAGGACAATTCTCGCAGTCCAGTTTACTTCATTCGTAAAATTTAGAATTTAGACTGTAACATCCATCTTCCGTATATCTTTCCGTACACGAGATACGAATGTCACATCACTTTTTAAAATATTTTATCGTTTGAAAACTAGTAAAATTTCGTTTTGAAATTTAAATTAAAGCATTTTAGCACAATTATAAAACAGTCATCGAAATATACTATCAAATTCCACTTTATATACATTCCAACATTTTTCTTTAAATTCGATTACATACCAGCAATTGTTTAAAAACAAACATGATTGTCCTACCGTTATTGTTGAGAGTCAATCTTAACAGATGAAAGTTGTTGCTACTGCTACACTCCTTACGCAATTAATCCTTGCCTTTACCTACGCGTGAAATAAACACACGTTAAGTATTTACTTAGTGAGATATAAAACTACAAGGATATTACAATTATACGAAAATATCTTATAAATATTGAATGAATAATTTAATTTCATCATTCATAAGAACCAATTAAGCCCTCATCAGTTAAACCATAATTCTTTCATAACATCATGGAAATTATTCTTAGTTGTCCATCATACTTATCCTTATGTATATTTTTCTCCTTTTATTCTTTATTTGCCCTATGTACATTAAATGTGAAGGTATCATACATGTATTGCACCAAGGTGCTAATTAGTCACATATCTTTTATAATCATTATGATGGCACCTTAAATACTGTTAATGCACTGTTTGATATTTTCATTTAGGTATCATTTCATGCCCATTATGTACTATTTACGTTTTCCTTTATAACATCCCTTCATACTAGTTATGCATTATTGTACATTATATATATATATCATCCCTTATTATCACTTATATACCATTCATATCATATTACATTATAATTCCTTTATTCTTTACCCAAAGGTATTTATCTTTTCACGTAACTTCCATATTTTACACTTTTCTGTCAAATGCACAGCTAGTTCATTATTCTTTTATTCAACAGTGTTTAACCTTTCATCTTTTATTCAACAATATTTAACTATTCATCTAACTGGCATAGTTGACACCTTTATGCCAATTGCACAGTTAGGCTATTATTCTTTTATTCAACGGTCTTTAACCATTCATCTAACTGGCATAATTGACACCTTTCTACCAATTGCTTAGGCCATTATTCTTTTATTCAACAGTGTTTGACCTTTCATCTTTGACTCAACAATATTTAATTATTCATCTAATGCATAATTGACACATTTCTGCCAATTACACAGTTAGGCCATTATTTTTTTATTTTGGACTAGTTTCTACTCTAATAATTATTTATATTATCAATTAACTCTTTATAATTTATTATAAACCTGTGCTAACATAGTAATTTACCAATTTCCTATTCATGTTCATTTATTAAGATGCACACGTAGTGCCTTTACGATAGTTCATCAACTCATGATGGATTTCGTGGGTTGCACACATCGTGCCTATACGGTTATTCATCAACTCATGATGAGTTCCGTGAATTTGCACACATAGTGCCTGTACGGTTATTCATCAACTCATGATGAATTCCGTGAAATGCACACTTAGTGCCAAAACGGTTATTCATCCACATAGGATGAATTACGTGGAATGCACACATAGCGCCGAAACGGTTATTCATCCACGTAGGATGAATTCCGTGGAATGTACACATAGTGTCGAAACGGTTATTCATCCACATATGATGAATTCCGTGGAAAGCACATATAGTGCCGAAACAATTATTCATCCACATATGATGAATTTTGTGGAATGCACACATAGTGCCGAAACAGTTATTCATCCACATATGATGAATTCCGTGGAATGCACACTTGGTGCCTATTTGGTAATCACCACACACATATTAAACAATCATACATATATGATTAGTGAAACATATAGTGACACAATTAAATACACTCACCTGACTTTCCTCGCTATATATCCAAAACGCAAAGTTGATCACTCTGGTACTTTGCCTTTGTATTTAGTTTTGCTTGACTCGGGAGCTTGGTTCCAATCTACTCAAGCACCCATTAAAACATGGTACCCAATGTTAGTATATTTCCTAACCATTATACTTAAACCATACTCAAAAGGACATATCATTAACTTTTTATACTAATATCAGCCTATTTTTAACATTTCTGGCTCCATAGTATCGATACTACTACCCTGGTACCGATACTTCTATACATGGTACCGATATACCCTTCAGTATCGATACCAATTTTAGGTTCGACGTTGCCTGGTATTAATACCCTTACCATGGTATCGGTACTACCATACTATGGTACCGATACCCCTTCTGGTATCGATACCAATTTTAGCTTCGATGATGCTTGGTATCGATACCCTTACTATGGTATCGATACTACCTCGTCGGTATCGATACTGATTTAATCAGTATCGATACTACTTAGCTAATTCATCATATTTTAGTTTATAGTATCAGTACTATTCTATCAGTATCGATACCCTTGTCCAGATTTTCCAGTTTTTAACCCGATTATTAGCCAAATGGGGCCAAATTTCTTTATGTTTACACCCAACAATGCTATTTAACTCTTTTCTACTTATTCCTACTAGCTTTCCTTCATTTAGCTTCTTAAAACATCTAAAATCTCTCAAGCTTACTTGAGTCTAAGAATCACACCATATTTTCTAACTTGTTTTTAAACTCATCCAATGCTTCTAATCTCTCATTTACTACTTTGACAAGTCAAAACTACCAGTAAACATCAATAAACACTCATATATAACATATCATTCAAAAACCCATTTTCTTAAATCTCAAATATTTTACTAATTACTTAGTTTTAACCTTGAACTTTCCTTAAGCCTCTATATTACTTAAGGTTTCAAAACATGTCCATAAACTAAAGAATAAACTAACTTAAAGGAAACTTACCTTGGCTATGGGGAGAATACATGAGCGCGGGAGAAGGAGAAGAAGAATATATAACTTTCCCCTTTTCATTCTTAAATCTCTAATAATGAAATAATTTTAAATTCATTTCTCCTTAAAGGACCAAAATGCCCTCTTTATTCTTCAATTGTTACTAATTGATCTTAAACACTATTCCAAATCATTTCTTATCTTTTATAATTTATTTAAATAGATCCTCAAATTCTAAATCTTTCCAATAATGTCACTGACCTAATATTTGGGGTATTACATAGACTTTTGACATTATTTAAAATATTATGTCTCATTTCACTGGCTAACTAATTGTTAGTGAATAAAATATTATTCTAAACAAACTAATTACTATTTTAATAATAAATCTATACATTAAAATTACAATTATAAACCTAGAAATATGCTAAATTCTAAATTCTAAATATAAATGTTATATTTTAACTTCACACGAGACCCTTAAATTAAAGGGTAAATTACACCGTTCCTTACAATACTTTACTCTTTCTCATATTTTGCTCACTATACTTTTAAATTTTTTAATTTGATCATTGAACTTTACAGATTAAATCATTTTGTTCACTCATCCGTTATATCTCTAATATTTTGATGACATGACATTATTAATTTATTTTTAATATAAAATAATTAAAAAAGTAACAAAAAGACGAAGGTGGCAGGATGCCACTGCTGGCATCCGTCAACAACCGTAGATTGTGGTCATTCGGTCTTAAATTTCACTGGTCGCTTTGCTTTGACACCGTTAGTCCAAATCTGACCTCCATTTTGTCGGAACTTGCTCTGAAGTACACGAATTTGAGATTGAAATTGAGAAAGCCAAAAAGTTTCAGTTTAGATTCAAGGTTTTTGAGATATTTTTGGGCAAAACAACCATCAAATTCGGACTCAAGGGTTGAGATGAACCGACCTATGAAATTTGGGATCGAATGACCAACATTAACGACGGTGGCTGGCAGTAGCATCTGACCACCTTCAATATTTTGGTTTTTTTTTAATCATTTTATATTAAAAATAAATAAAAATGTCATATTATTACATCGTTAAATAGCTAACAGCAAAGTAAGCAAAAATATTCAATATGTAAAATTCAGTGAGCAAATTAAAAAGCTGAAAGTACGATAAGTGAAATAAGAGAGAAAATAAAGTACAATAAAAAATGATGTAATTTACCCTAACTTAAAAATAAATCATATAAATTAAGTTTACACCATCTAATTATTAAATAATTTTATTTAATTAAACTATACCTTTTTAATGTTATTTTTCCTTTTATTGTTCCTTCTCTCTGTTAAAATTCCGATCTGAAAAAGGAAAAAAATTGTTTTCTGATAATCTGCCGAGCTGAAGAAGAAGCTAAAGCTTTCACCTTTTTGGCTAACTCAAGCAACACCAACATTCTTCTCTCACTGCCAGTCCCTTTTGGATTTGTTAATTTTTATTTGGCTTTTTTTTTTATAAAATTCTCGAATTGTTTCATTTTCGGAGATCACGGTTCGGTTCAATGTTCTTTTTTGGGGTCCAGAATCAACGGCTGCGGTTGCATGTTCGACGGCCGGAGTTTGTTCCATCGCGAGAGCGTTCGAGACGGCGACGTTTTGGAATCTATGTGCATTGGTAAGATTAGGAGGGCTAGGATTTGGCGACTCCGTTGGATGCCTATTTGTAACAGGTGCAGGATAAATGCTTCTTGTCGGGGATCTAGGGTTTTCGAGCCTGGTCCTTGTGGTCTCATTCGTTCTTCCATTGATCGGCTTTTTCGTTAGGCGGAAATGGCGGCTATCTGTAGCCAGGCAAGCGGAGATCCAGAGGCTTTTGATTTTGGCCTCGGAGGAGACTGCTAGAGCGGAGCTTGAGGCCACGGTTGGATATGGTGCAGTTTCCATTTCGTGGAACTATCACCAATGCGCTGTTTGTTATTGTCCTGCTACTACTCGCTGCGCCCGCTGTAAAGCCGTTCGATACTGGTTGGTTAGCTTGTTATTTTTCTAACTTAGAATTATTGAGATTTCTTTCTTCATTTAGGCCATTAGTTTGAACTTTGAACGGCATTTGAGATGAATAAACAGTATGAAATTGAAATAATATTTGATTAGATGAGTGCTTCAATTTGCGCTATGCAAGTTAGAAAGGAAGCAATTTAGCAGTGAGAAAGGAAGCAATTTAGCTGTGAGAAAGGAAGCAATTTAGAAGACTTCTGAAAATAAATTATGAACTCAACATCCAAAGTCAAGCATTAAGTTTGGTGTTGGTCTTGATTCTTAAATGCCGCAATGTTTTGATGGATAGATATGTTGATTTTGAGCAAGTGTTTTTGTTTCTAGATTCCATGTCTGAGCCTCCTATCTCCATGTTACGAAGATTGGATATTAGAACACAATTCCTCTTCATGATGACCTTTTTCTTTGTGCCCTTTCTCACCTGCAGTTTAAGACTTTTTTCTTTACTTTTTCCCCGGTCATACATTTTAGGGGTTAAGGATGTGTATGTTAAGTGTTAACTTAGTATTTTCGCGAAATTGTTAAAATGTAGTTTTTATGTAAAAGAAACGAATATTCTCACTTGGAGAATAATTTAGCTTTTCCCCATCACTTTGTTTAGGGTTTTTTAAGGATGTGTTACTGATTCAATGGGACAACAATAGTCAATTATGGCTGTATTTAGCATTATTTTTCTGATGATACAGTTGATTATGTGCAATGTCTTTCAATAATATAATATTTACATCAAATTTTGGCTGTTTCAGTTCTCCCAAGTGTCAAATTATTTACTGGCGTCGAGGTCACAAGGAAGAATGTTATCCGCCTCCGATTGTTGCACACCAAATTCATGATGAGGGAGGTGATTACGTTCAGAAGGTGATAGAGCAAGACCAATATGGAGACGGATATGAAAACAAAGGAAAGTTGGATGCAAAGTTAACTAGAACATCCTCCAAAGAATCTGCATTGTTTAACTCCAAAACAGGACTTGCACTGTTGAGTTCCTCTAGCTCTTCTGCGGTTTTACATGGGAAGGATGATGATGCAAAGGTTGAGCTTCATGCTGATGGTGAAGGACTGAACTCTGCTTCTGAATCTTCCAGTGCTTCATTTTCTGGATTCTCTTCTTCTGCTGCTGGTAGTGAATCATCTGATGATGTTTCTATGTGTGAGAGCATAAGTTCAAATGAGCCTGATAAATTAGATAGTTCTTTTTCTGCTGATGCTAATCTTGACACCTTTTGGACTTCGTCTGTTGTCAACAATTTGGATCAAACCAATCCATCATCCCCAAAAATTGTTAGGCTGGTTGATTCTGTAGATAAAATTTCTAAAATAAAAAAAATTAAATCGGACTAAGCCTGATCAAAGTGGAGAGAGACAGTGCAGAGTGACTAGTTCTTCAGGATCAGGTGGTAATGATATGTGTTAGGGATCAATTGTGGAGGGTTCTAGATTGTCTTCTGGTTTCTGGGACAGAACTCTGAAATCAGTTCCATCTACAAATGTTGCTGACAATGAGTCTTTTAACTCGTATCATAAAAAAGGCGGTAAAGGTGCCTCACTTGATTCTGGGTCATCCTTACATTTTTCGTTTACTTTGTCTGGAAATGCTTCTTCCTCACATCCACACAGCTCCAACGTGAAAGATGCTAAATTGGATGATGCTCCTCAGGTTGCTAATACTTCAGGGCATGCCAAGCTTTCTGATGGAGTAACTTTGTCAGACAATGTTGGCCTAGATTCTCTGAATGTCAGAAACTCCAAGTCTTCAAATTCTGGATGGGCTAATCAGGTGGAGTGTGGGTCTAACAATATTTCGCATGCTGCAAAACCCAAAGAAGCTATCAGTACAGATGTTCCACTAGTCAGTTTTGAAAAATCAGGCTCTACTGCTTTCATTAATGGACCTAGCAATGCTTCTCATACATTTAAGTCATCTGATGCTTATTCATACAATGCCAGAGTGCTTGTTGTTTCCAGTGTGAAATCCGGGAAAACTAATGGCGTTCATGCAAAATGTTGCGAAATTACCTCAGGTTTCAAGTTCTAATTGTAAGAATGGATTGAAAATCTCCATGTTGAAAGTTGTTGATCAATTCAGAGGATCTAAAATGCCCTAACACTATCAACTTGGAGCTTGTAATGAGGTTGGTGGAACTTTAGCAATAAGCTTAAAGTTACAATTTTAGCCCTAACGAGCCTTTGACATATTAGCTTTTTCTCCTTTGCAGGAAATTTTTTCATATGAGTCATTTGTCGGTGGAACTTTAGCAATAAGCTTAAAGTTACTATTTTAGCCCTAACGAGCCTTGGACATATTAGCTTTTTCTCCTTTGCAGGAAATTTTTTCATATGAGTCATTTGTCAAACTTTATAGTTGGAATAAGGTGGAACTGCAACCACGTGGTCTTATAAACTGTGGAAATGGGTAATATAAGATTGTTTCCTTTTCTTTTTATTATGATGAATATTTATGGAAAAAATATGCTGTGCTTTTTTGGTTTTATATTATTGGCTAAATCCATCAACCTGTTGTGCATTTAATTTTACAACAGAACCACCACACTTGCAGCTTCATAACAGCCCTATCCTAAAATCACCATTCTGAAAGGTTATAAATCCATAAGAGTGGGAAAATATTTTTAGTTAAGGTATGACAACCAAGAAAAACAAATACAAACTAAAATGCAAGCAATATTAAAGAAAATCATCTTCACCCATGAGGTTAAAACAAAAAAAATCAATTAAAAAAGTACCCCATAAAATCCAGATCAAAATGGATAGAAGATGGAGATAGAAATACTAGATTTTTCCATAATTGTGCTTCGATTAGGATGAGGAGGAATGCTTTGAATGCGTTGAATATCCGGGGTAATGTTATTCAAGAACCTTCTGTCATTAAGACCACTATTAGAGACCACTTCTTTAAGAATTTCAACGAGCATTCGAATTTAGAGGTGGATGAGATAAGGTTGAATTTTCCTAGTATTTCAGTTGAACAGAATCTATGTTTAGAGAAGGAATTTACAGAGGAGGAAGTTTGGGAGACTTTACAATCTTGTGATAGTAATAAAGCGCCGGGACCGGATGGTTTAAATTTGGGCTTCTTCAAAAGGTTTTGGCCTGTCCTCAAGGTTGATATTATGAAATTTTTTCATGATTTTTATTTGGGGAAAGACTGGGAACATGGGGTTAATCACACTTTTATCACTCTCATTCCAAAAGTCGCTAACATTGGCGGTCTAGATGACTTTAGGCCAATTAGCCTAGTTGGTGGGTTGTATAAGATCATTTCTAAGTGTTTGTCGAGGAGATTGAGGGGTTGCATTTCAGACATCTTTAGTCCAACACAGTTCGCCTTCATACCAGGTAGACATATTCTGGACTTTTCTTTAATTGCTAATGAAGGAGTGGATTATTGGAGAAAACATGGTCTCAAGGGCTGTGTATTCAAGGTTGATTTCAAGAAAGCCTACGATTCTGTTGAGTGGTCTATTTTATTTAAAATAATGGAGAAAATGGGCTTCGGTTCCAGATGGAGGGGCTGGATTAAGCAGTGTGTAACCACAGCTTCTGTTTCGGTTCTTGTAAATGGAGTACCCTCTGAGGAATTCTTAATGACTAAAGGCCTTCGACAGGGTTGCTCTCTGTCTCCTTTGTTGTTTAACTTAGTAGGGGAGGTACTTAATCTATTGATACGAAGGTCTGTGTCTCAAGGTTTATTTTCTGGAATGGTGATTGGCAGAGAACAGGGGTCTGCATATGTGTCTCATTTACAGTTTGCGGATGATTTGATTATATTTTCTGGTGCTTCGAAAATGCAAATTCAGAATGTCGGTGCTTAGAGTATTTCAAGTGGTTTCTGGTCTACAATTGAATTTGAAGAAGAGCAAATTGTTTGGGGTTAATGAAGGGAACTGCTGGAATGGGCTACTTCTATTGGATGTTCAATTGGAAGATTTCCTTCCGAATATCTAGGGCTTCCCCTTGGGGCTACTAGGAATTCTGCAGCTATTTGGAAACCAGTCATTAATAATTTTTTTAACAAGCTAACCGGGTGGAGGGCTGCATCTCTTTCTTTAGCAGGGAGGCTAGTGTTAATCAAGGCGGTTCTTTGTTCGCTTCCTACATATTATCTTTCCATATTTAAAATTCCAGCTTCGGTTCTAAAAACCCTTAACTCTATCATGTCAAATTTCCTATGGGGAGGGGGAACTGGCATTAGAAAAATCCACTGGGTTAGCTGATCCAATGTTTGCAAGCCGAAGAGTGAAGGGGGCTTAGGAGTTCTTAATCTCAACTTGATGAATAGAGCGCTTTTAGGGAAATGGACTTGGAGGTTTGCCAATGATAGGGACGCAGTTTGGAGGGAAGTTGTTTGTGCCAAATATAGACTCGATTCTTCAGTTTTAACTCTTGACAGTAAGGTACCTCCTAAAGTATCATGGATTTGGAGATCATTGCTTAATAATTATTTTAAAGAAGACTTCTTTGGCACTAAATTTAGAAGCATGTGTAGTTTTCATGTTGGTGATGGTAAAAATATTCGGTTTTGGCAAGATATTTGGGCTGTGGATTATCCACTTGTTGTCATTTTCCCAAGACTATTTACTATTTCCTTAAATCAGTTTGGGAAATTATCTGAATTCGGTGAGTATATCTCTTCCGTTTGGACTTGGGATGTTAAATTTAGAAGAACTCTTCATGCCTGGGAACTTGAACAATGGTCTAACTTGCTGGCTATCATTTCGAATTTTTCGCTCTCTTTGGATTTTCCTGATCGTGTGCTTTGGAAAGGGACTGAAGATGGGGTTTTTACTGTTAGATCAGCTGTTAATCTATGTTCATCGGAGACTTTGGGATTGGATGAGGTATTTTCTGGAAGAAGTTTATTTGGAGAGGCCTACTGCCTCCAAGAGTAGAGTTTTTAATAGATCAATTTAGATAATACTTGGGATTTTGGTTTATTAATTAGTCTGCAAACTTTAGGAATTATTGATTTAGGTCCTTAAACTTCTAGTCTCTTAGAACTCGGTATTTTAGATCTTTGACCTTTTAGTCCCCGAACTTCAATTAGACCTTTAAGATTGACATAATCAAATAGGTTAAATAGAGCCTATATTTCAATATAGTTCTCTTAATTTAGGGAATAATTATAGTCAGCCCTTGCTTAAATGCTCAAGGGACTATTTCGGTTATTCGGTTCAATAATTGGTTTAAAAATAAAATAGGGTTAATATTAGAACTACATTTTAGGCTTGAGCTTCTAGGTTCTTCAATTTTCATAATTTGACACTTTAAGCTAGAAAAATCCTTAATTGACCCTTAGCTTAATTAGGATGAATAAAAATTTGTTTGATTGCATTTTATTTTTAAACCTAAGGCAATGTTCACTTATTAGGGAATTAATGGTATATCTCCCTCAAGTATGCTTAGGAGTGACTACTGGCGATTCCCGAAATAAGTCGACATCCTTTTCAAGACCGCATCATGATTTCTAAAATTAAGGCAATGTCCGGTTATTAGGTACAATAGTTGATCTCCCTTATTTATGCTAGGGGCGAATGCTATTGGCCTGAATAAACAAATACCCTTGTCAACTTTGCATCCGTAATGATTTTTAAATTAAATAAAGTTCGAACTCAAAATTTCCAATTCTAAATATAGGGTAATCAACTAGGTACCAATTTTTGGGCGCTTGTGGGGTGCTAATCCTTCCCCACGCGTAACCAACTCCCGAACCTGATTTCTGGATTTTCGCAGACCTTAAAACTTGATATTTTGATAAAAATAAACTGTTTTATTAAAATCACCCGGTTTTTATGGTGTCCTAATCGCATCTTAAAATGATTAGTGGCGACTCCTCACATTTCAAAATTCTTTTCAAAGAAAAACTCCCAAGTCGGTACTGGACTTTTCCCGTCCGAGCGAAAAACAGTGTGGACACCACACAGTACATAAAGTCAAAACAACCCTGGATCCACCAACTGGCTGTAGTATGTCATCTCTTAGTGCTCCGGAAATTAAGCTGGAGACTATTCGGAATCAGTTGTCCAACTTTAACTCAGTACTCTCTTCAAGGTGGTATGCTCTTAAAAGGATTCGTGTTGCACCTCATTTACCTGCAAATCGTTCTTTCACAGCCAAAAGTTAAGCATATATGCATGCTGGAACTCAGTATGTAAAACAAGTATCTAGACTGCTAAAAACTGGCATAACAAGTTTACGCAACGGTTCATCGTCATATGAAATTGTGCAAGGTATTATCTTTGTCTTTTGAAAACCCTTGTTTTCTCATTAGAGATTACACAGTAGGATCCTGTTTGAATGGATTTATTCATATTATCTACTTAGACTTAAGAAGTACTCATGCTGTCTATGCTAAAGCCAATCGATGCCCACATCATTTATGGAAATCATGGAACATGCTAGCTCCTTAGTTCTGCTACACGTGGTATTTTTCTTGAAAGATGTGGTTTTACAATTGAATTGTAGATTGCTTTAAGGGCATCTGCATTTAATTGTTTGTAACTAAAACATTTTGATATTACTTATCTGTAGTATTGCTTGGATATTTGTTTCTTCCAGTTTATCTTCCTTTTTAGTTATGGATTAGCCAACTTGTTATTTTTTCTTTAATTTTCCAACATCCTTTCCTCTCTGTCCATACATGTCATTAGAAACATATGCTTGCATGCTGAGGCTGAAAAGTTCAACTGACGAAAACAACATAAGAATGCATCCTGGATCTGGTGAAACACATCTCTTGTATGCAACTGTTCCTTAACTCTCTTGCTTTCTCTAAATTTCTCTAAAACTGTTACAAGATAGGAACCGATACCTCTTGCAGCTTCCCAGATAGTTTGGGAGATGAACTAATTGTTGAAGTTCAAGACTCCAAGGGGAAGCATTTGGGTCGTATCCTTGTACAAGTGGCTGCTGCTGCTGAAGATTTGGTATTGTTCCAAAATACCGACAATTAGTTCTACTTAATTTGTAATTTTCTTTTATTTAATAATGCTCATATGAAAGTTGAATGTAGACTGACAA